GTCCCCCTGCCCCTCACCCGGCCCTCCCTGCCCTGCCCCTCACCTGGCCAGGCTCCCATCCACACCTTCCCCAGCCTCTCTCCAGCGACCCTGCTGGTTGATGCTTTCCTCAGAGCCTAGAACACTACATGGAAGATGTATATGATCCATCTGTCCCCCTGCACACACGTTACCTATAGGTACTGACATATACAGGTATCACACACACACACACACACACACACATGTGCGTGTGTGAGCTATACGAATGTGGCCTGTCATACACACGTCACCTACACCCATGTGCACACCTGTGATCTTTGACACACACACACACACACATGTGCGTGTGTGAGCTATACGAATGTGGCCTGTCATACACACGTCACCTACACCCATGTGCACACCTGTGATCTTTGAGGATAGACAGGTATATGCGTGTCCTGTGATCTCTCTGTATGTTAGCTATCTATGTAAACATATATATTGTTTTGTTCTGGTCAGTCGAGGGGCTTGAACTCAGGCCCTGGGCGCTTTTTCCCTGAGCTTTTTCACTCAAGGCAAGTGCTCTACCACATTTGAGTTATGGCCGCCACTTCTGGTTTTCTGGTGGTTCATTGGAGATAAAGAGTTTCAGACTTTTTCCTGCCCACGCTGGTTTTGAACTGCAATCCTTAGATCTCAGCCTCCTGAGTAGCTAATGACAGGGAAGAGCCACTGGCACCTGGCCTACTATCTTCAGTTGACTAAGAAGGCATGGGTGTTTTTATCAGGCTATGACTTAAGTATTTTAAGAGCCAGCAAGGCTTTAGAGCTTCCATTTATGATACACTTCACTCCAAGCCGTACGTACCGCTTTTTCTGAAGTTGACATTAGATTACTAGACCATGGCTCAAATGAAGTATTCTTTTCTCGTTTATTTCCCCAGACCTGTTTTTACATGTGGCGGGGTTCTCACTGGAGAGTCTGGATTTCTCGGCAGCGAAGGTTTTCCTGGAGTGTACCCTCCAAATAGCAAATGCACTTGGAAAATCACAGTAAGTTTTTTTTTTTTTTTAAACAGAGGTATTCTCTTGCAAGAGGGGGTTGGAAACTGCAAAGCGGCGCTCTTTTTCCTCTGGTATTGAGATCTGGGTTGGAGGCAGATGCCTGGAATATGAAATGTTGGATTGACGTCAACTATTTGGGAGATTTTTATTAAGCAATCCGTGGTGCCTTGCAGTAGACATCAGAAAGGACTGGAGATAGTGCTTGAAGGTATAAATTCTTACTGCAAACCCAGTCTCACTCTGTTGGATTTTTACGCATTCATGATGAAGGCATATTTTTGGTGGAGGGCTGTTGTAATGAATGACCTTTGTCCACACACTGATTCCTAGGGGGAACAGAAGATTGGAGGTAGTGCCTCCTTGGCCTTCCCATTAGGGAACCGAAGAAAATGGACTTACTATCTCTGAGTAGAAACCACCACTCAAGGAGATCTGAGACTATAGAATGGTAGAAATGCGGTCAGTTTCAAGCATGCTAAAACGCCTGTGCTGGCTAGTGACGGCTGGGTTATACCAGCTTAAGATAAGAAGCCAGAGTTGGACACAACTCACTTAAAACAAGAGGGAGAAAATAAGAAGTCTGGATTTCTTGTCAGGTTGAATCATTCCGTTGGTATGACAGTGATTTTCAGCTCTCTCCTTTCGTTTTTCATTGTCGGGAAGTTTTGGGTAACTAGAAACATTGATTCATTAAGTGCTTATTTAATCAGGTTGTGTCACCCACATGATGGCTTTCTTTTTGCTTTGGTTTTTTTTTTCCAGTGCTAGAAATCAAATCCAGAGGCTCAAACATGCTAAGCAAGGACTCTACCTCTGAGCTTTACTCCCTAACCCCATATTATTCATTTACTTTATTTATTTGTTGATTCTGCGTTAGCCACAAGCTGGCCTGGAACTCACGATCCTTCTGCTTCAGCCTACCGAGAACCCAGATTATGATTTGTACAAATAGCTGCTCTGACTTGTGTAGACTAACACTTTACTCCATATACCAGACACATACTGGGCCATGTAGTGAACAAGCACCTCACTCAAGCCTCAGCACCACTCTGAGAAAACACATCACCTCCTCCCCTCTATCCAGGGGGAAGCTTAGGCCTAACACTGCTACAGACATTGACTTAATCAGATGACTGGTGAGCAACGTTTCATGCTAAGTAAAACATCTTCTGCACAAGAAGGCTGTTTGACAGAAAGGAGAGGAAAAATATTTATAAATGGTATGGAAATCCTCGCACAAAATTCTGACTCAGTAATTATACTCTTCTGAGCTTATTTATTAAGTAAATCAACACTCACCAAAATGGATTGGGTGACTATTCTATTCAACCACTGTGATGGGCCCGAGGAGCAAAAAGCAAGCTATGGTTTCTGTCTTCAAGGAGTTTGCTATCTGGAGGAGAGTAAACAAAAGAATTAATAACAGATATGTATGTAAAGCATTTTGATGCTCAGTACATAAACTGACTACTGAAGAGGCTGAGATGCAAGGGTCATGGTTCAAAGTCAACCCTGAGACTCTTGCTTCCAATTAGCCACCAAAAAGCCAGAGGTAGCACTGTGGCTCAAGTGGTAGTGTTAGCCTTGAGCCCAAAGCTCAGGGATAGTGTTCAAGTCCCAGTATTTGCATGTGCATAGGCACGCATACACACACGCGTGCACGCGCACACACATACACAAACATACACTACTTAAAACTGGTTGATATGTTGATCATTTGGAATTGGCCTTTTTAAGATTTCATTTGACTTCACAGGGCGGTATCACAGGTGCCTTGCTATTTCCAAACGGGACCAATAAATATCTGCTAACAAGAATTTCAGTGCAATTTTCCTGTGGTACTCTGGAACTTATGTATGTATGTTGAGGTCATCTTACTGAATCTACCCTTCAGGTGCCTGATTAAATTTACAAGGCATTCACATTTAGTTTAATGCACTTGTAGATTAAAAATGAGGTTGTGGATTTAATGCTTCTCAACTTTTTATTCAACTCAGAGAAAATTGGCAGTGCTGGGTGTGGGCTTGCATATTTATATCCAATTTGAAACATACAGGAAGATCGGCCTAGGTGTGTAATTTGAGAAGACAAATAATGAATTTAGGCAGGAACTCAATGTTTAAGTCACTTAATTATACCTAAGGGTCTATCAAAGGGTTCTAAAATTACTGTAACTATTATTTGCTTGGTGTAAACAGCAGGATAGATAGAGGAAAGGAATTTTGGCCCTAACCACATATATCCTGGCTTTAAACTATACATGGGATTTAGAATTATATAGAAACTTGAATTCCAGTCTTAACTATAGGCTGTTATATGTATGCACACATATATATTAAAAGAACATATATATTTGCTTTACTAGACACAGTTATTTCAATGGCTAGAATAGTTATTTAACCAAATGGTGAGTTAATATCATCTACAGGTAAGAAAAATACATAGTTGACAGAAAACATATGGCTATCCAAGGTGAGAGTTGTTTCTGGACATTGAACCTCACAGCAGGAACGCATGGTAACGCAGAACTGCCATCTCCTTCCTGGCAGCCAGGAGGAAGCTGGATCCCATTATACCCATTGAGGACTTCTCGAGGACTCCTTCTACAGCCCTTCCTGAAATTTCCACCACCTCCCAGTAGTATCATGGGCTAGAGACCAAGCCTTCAACATGCAGGTCTTTGGAACATTCCAGATCTAAAGACACAATCGTGTCTTTATTTTTGCTTGTTTTAGGTATACTAAACATTAAAATGCATAGATTTAAAATTTTCAAAGGCACACACTTGTACAACCAATGCCCCAATTATGTCAGAGAACATTGCTAGAACCTTCTGTTTTGTTCCTTCCTGACCCAGTCCCCTTTCCCCACAGGGGCAAGCGCTGTAGATCAGCTTTTCCTATTCTAGAGCTTCTTAAAGAATAGGATGTAGAATGCACATACTGGTAAGGGCACACCTTCCAAACTCATTTTTCTCATTTATGCTAAAAGTCACACCCCTCCAAATACTGTTTTACTAGTCATCTGGGAATGAATCCCTGATCCCATGAAAACAACACATGAAATGAACCATTGAAATGCTTTGATATTTCTGCCAAAAATTAACTGACCATAAGAGAATATGCCTGTTTTTACACTGTATCCAGTTCCATTCCCACTTTTGCTTATACTAATTCTCTGCTGCTTACAGGAAGAATTTTGGTTTTCATAATTTTTTTTTTTTTGGTTGGTCGTGGGGCTTGAACTCTGGGCGTGGGTGCTGTCCCTGCGCTCTTCAGCTCAAGGTGAGCGCTCTACCACTTGAGCCACAGCGCCACTTCCAGTTTTCTGATGGTTTACTGGAGATAAGAGTCTCATGGACTTTCCTGCCCAGGCTGGCTTTGAACGGCAATCCTCAGATCTCAGCCTCCTGAGTGCGCCACCGGTGCCTGGCGAGAAGTTTTTTGGTTTTTTTTTGTATTTGTTTTTCTGCCTATGTGGTGCTGAGAAATCGAACCCAGGGCCTCATGCATGCTAGGCAAACACTCTATCACTGAGCCACCTTCCCAGCCCCATTGGTTATCATAATTCTGGTAACACCAAAGAACAAAGTAAAAAGTGGAAAAATAGCCTTAAATGATACTGATAATACCTTTTTTTT